GTCCCCTTAGCCTAGTGAGACGGTCCTGATGAATGAGTGCCAGCAAAGCTGCACATGTGTTCCCACCCGAGGGGTGACCTGCGAAGTCCACAGCTGCTCCAGAGGAGAAACCTGCCAGATCAGAGATGGCGTCATGGGCTGCATCAGCCAAGGTAAAGAACAGTCACTGATTGCAACATGCCCTGAGAGTTTATTGCACAAGGAGTGAATAAAATAGTTGTGATTATGTCTCCTCACCCTTTTCACTTTCTCTTTCCCTTTATTTAGCCATGAACCCTGAGCCATATTATTACAGAATTTCAATTTGAAAGATGAAAAGCCTTATTGGGTCAGAGTGTCTGCTGCGTCCTGCTTCTGGCATGCACAGCGGAGTAGGGTGGGCAGCTGATTAAAACCTGGGGGCTACTCTAAATGGAACCTATTGGCTGTAGCCTCACAGGGGCCATCAGTCAGGTGGGCACTGTCAGAGCCCATCACATCCCAGCCACTCTCCTTTGCCTGCTCAATGCTGCCCACAACATGCCCCTCTGGGTTGCAGCACCTCTGCCAGGCATTGTGGAGAAGGAGACACAGGAGACCACTTTGCCGGCTTTATGTCAGGAAAGGTCTCACCTAGGCAGGGATTTCCTCAGCAGAGACTTGTGAGAGATTTGTGAAGGGTGCATGGGAGTAGATAGATACAGTGTATGGGGATAGATAGATCAATCGATCATTCGCTCCATTTCACAAACAGGCTATATTAAGAAGTAGGATTCCAAGGACACTAAATATCATCCTGGCTTTCACAGCCCCCTCAGCCCCCTTTCTGCTCTCATATATAACTGATTAGTCTGGTGTTTCTTGTCTTTCTATTGTCTTTCCCCACTAGTTATTCCATCCTGCAGTGTGGTTCGCTGCAGAGAAGGAACTATTTGCAAGATGATAAATGGGCAGCCAGAGTGTGTGCCAGTCTCTCAGGCCACGTGCTGGGCTGGGGGTTACTTGCATTACCACACCTTCGATGGACGGGCGTATGATTTCCACGGCACCTGCAACTACACTGTGGCCAAGACCTGCAGGAATGACTCCGTCCTGCCCTCCTTCCATGTCACGGCCAAGATCGAGAACAGGGGGAACACACAGGTCTTCTACATTGGGTCGGTAACTGTCCAGGTGGATGGAGTCACCATCACAGCAGCCAGGGCTGAGGTTGGCTTTGTGGGGGTAAGTGTTGAGCATGATCAGTACTTAGATAGGATACCTTGAAAACATTTACCCAAGGTGTTGCAGGGGGTAGAATTGTTTAAGTAGTAGAGGGTGCTCTCCTCCTGAATTGGTGCTTTCCCTGAAGCCACGGCACTGTACTAGGGGGTGCTGTACTATGTTCAGATGAACAGGTATCCCAGTAGGGTGCACTCTCCCTTTGAATGGTGCAGGTGGCCAGCAGGGGGCGCTGACCCAATTCCAAAGCACAATGCTTGGGGCTACTGTCAGCAACTGGGATGTGGGTGGTCAGACGTACTGGCTGAAGCAGTGGCAGTCAGGGCTAGTAGCCAGATCTGGAGTCAGGAACCAGGAGTCAGAGACAAGGGTCAAAACAACCCCCCCGGGAATTGCGTCACTCGCCAATGGCTCTAACTGACACAGACCCTTCCCCCGCAGGAGCCACTCCCTAACGGCTCTATCCGACATGGCCCTCGCCAGGGCTGCTCTCTAACTTCTCTATCCAACGCGGCCCTCCCTGGAGCTGCTCCTTAACGGCTCTATTCGACGCGGCCCTCCCCAGAGCTCCTCCCTAATGACTATGACCAACGCAGCCCTCAACCCCGCAGGCGCTGCTCCCTAATAGCTCTAACACACACTCTAGGGTTGCCAGCCATCTGGTTTTCAATCTGAACACCTAGTCGAAAAGGGACCCTGGTGGCTCTGGTCAGC